ACATAGACACACGACTCCACACATAGCCGTGCTTAGAGGGTAGTGCATCAAGAACAACATTGTTGTACTGCACTCCCGCGCCCCCCCGCCTTTCAAACCCCACAATGACCATCGTGGTGAAGTATGGTAAAACACCCCTCCAGCAGCGGAGAGACTGCCATCGTGGTCCTGTGCCGGGCGGAGGGAGGAGCGGCCAGCGACTCCGGGAGAAGAGGTTCATGTATACGTGTGTACACACATGTATGTATGTACACACGGATACATACATACACGTGTGTACATACACACGTGTACACGTCACGTCCCAGTGCACACGCTCCAGTCGCACGTGTACTTGTCACTAGCCAGCGTGTGCACTCACCATATGAATGACCTAACTAGGCATGTACACACGAAGACAAAGATCCCCCGTACAGCCTTAGCAGGAGGTTGGGGCAAGTGTTGTTAGCGAGCACCTATTAAGGTCGGCACGTCACACGAGGGGGTGGGTTTGCCAGCACCACGCCCAGACGCCTTTGTCGTCCCAGTGCTGATGTGTACACAACGCACGGCACTCGTTTAAGGCTGAGTCAACCGAATGGAGGCCCAGGACCGGGTCGGATAATCGTTACTGGTGTTGGCCGTGAGCGGGAATCGTAAGCGGGTCCCCGGGTTCGTAGCGCAACGCTCTAAGCCACTACGCTATCGCTGCCCACAATAAATATATACAACCTCACGTGTACACACACACACACACACGTGTATATGTACACACACAAACAGCAGCCGATCCACTTGTCAAAGTATCTCGTTGCAAGGCCCACACTGGCGCACGTGTGTGTGTGCGCATACACACGCGCGCACGCGCCAGCACGTACGTCCGCTGGTGTACACGCAAAGCCATACGTGTGCATATAGCACACACACACATCACACGTGTACACACAGAGAGAACGTGTACACACACACGTGTGCATACAGCACACACACACACATCACACGTGTACACACAGAGAGAACGTGTACACACACACACGTGTGCATACAGCACACACACACACAACACGTGTACACATAGAGAGAGAGAACGTGTACACACACACGTGTGCATACAGCACACACACACATCACACGTGTACACACAGAGAGAACGTGTACACACAAAACAAAGATTGCCCGTATAGCTTTCACAGACTTTTGGGACAAATGCTGTTAGCGAGGACACGTGTACATACACACACACATGTACACACACACGCGTGTACAGATACACACACGTGTACAGACACACACACACGTGTACAGACACACACACACGCGTGTACAGACACACACGTGTACAGACACACACACACGTGTACAGACACACACGCACACGTGTACAGACACACACACACACACACGTGTACACACACACACGTGTACAGACACACACACACACGTGTACAGACACACACACACGTGTACAGACACACACACGTGTACACGCGCTCGCATTCTCCCATGAGCCGGAGCCGCGTGTGGCATCGTCTCAGCCGCTCCGGTTTTTGTCGGCAGCCACTGAGCCCATTTCAAATCCCCGCCACCAAACAAAGGAAAGGGAGTAAGTGTCGAAACGACACAAATGTTTTGAGCTTTAAAACTGAAGTGCGGTAGATGTAGATATTAAGCAATGTCCGTTCGCGCGGTTATAATGTAAATGCGTGAACTCGGTGGAAGTAATTCGAGGCGTGCGCTGCTCTGCGCGGTGACACCTCCGACACATTGAACGAAGCGTGTGTGCCAATGTTGGGCGAATGTTGTGCCAACGTTGTTGTTGTTGTGCCACTCACAAACATTGCGGCTTCGTTGGTGATGCTGTTGGGTGTCTGTGTATGACTGCTTCGGCGCAGCCGCAACAACAACAACACCAACCACCACCTTAGCCACCGCACGACGGCTCAACAACAACAACATCGCCTCGTTATGAATATTTTAACTCACAGATATGGAAGCGATGCCTAAACGTCCTAAAAATAAAGAATAATCACTAATATCATCACCATCATCATCACCAACATCATAATTAGCATTATCACTCTCATCATCTCTCATCATAATCACAATCAACACTTTCATCATTATCGCTATCATCATCATTAACATCATCACTATCATCACTCTCATCATCAGCAGGATCATCAACATAGCACACGTTTAACAAACGCCGAAAAATTTCGCAACAATTTGCGATTTCAAAATTAATCTGGTAACTTTCAAGTTAAAACATTATCCACGTTATTTTACTTGCATAGCCATTCTATGCTTGAGACCTGTAGACTATTGAGACTATATATATTTGTATTGTCCTCTGTAAATGTTTAGAATGTGGGCAACATTCTATTATTTACAGCTCGGTATAAATGTTTTTGTTGCCGTAAATTGGTTATTGGGTCATGCCAATAATTATAATAATTATAGAACAATGCGCCCTAACCAAGTGAGGAATTATAATTATGTCTGTTCAACTTCTTCCGCACCGTACGTAGCAAACGGCCCTAATCGGAGGTGCGGGATAATAGTATCAGCCCCGTTACAGTTGCACAATACGTGAGTGTAGCTGCAATGGGATAGTTAAGATGATAACAGGGTAAAGTTGTTGTGTTTTCTTACAGCTGAACCCATTAAGTAAATCACTTTACGACAATTTGATCTGTGGCTGTAATATTCCGTTTGCAGTGGCAAAGCCCAGACAACAGTAACTCGCCAGGTTCACCGATGCCGCTGTACCCGATACGGAAAATATTTATTATACGAATAATAATAAGAAGCGACTTGTCGGGCAATGGTTCTTCATCATCTCGATTATGAAGAAGAATGGCCATTCAAGTGAAAACAATAGGCGACGTTTCGGCCAATGACCCATCTCCATTTCTCTGCTGTGGAAAATTGGATAAAAAAAACGTCGCCCGCTATTTGTTTTCCTCCAAATGTCCATGCATTCAGATCAGATAGAGAGAGTCCTCGTGCGAAACGTCGACTATATTTTAACGTAACGTAACCAAGACAGGCCACGGTAGTCCGCAGGATCAGACGCTGTAGTTTGTAAAGATGTTGAGCATTCGTATTCACCTGGAGCTCATGTCTATCACAACAACCAATTGTGTAAGTTGCTTCTGATGGCCATTGTGTATCAATGCTATCAGAGAGGACAGGCGTAGTCCGTCACGAGTTCTCACGGACAGCGTAGCACGCACGTGTAGCACGCACGTGTACGGAATATAATATACACAGTAGCCTCTACGTCGTGGAGTGAGGATGCGTACACACAGACACACACATGAGCATAGTATACATTTTAAAACGTGCACACAAGTGCGTAATTCCATGTGGTTCACAACACACGTACCAGGTACATTCACAAACACGTATTGCCATTGCTTGTTTACGCGTGTACACAAAGACAAAGATCTGCCGTATAGCCTGAACAGACTGTTGAGGAAAGTGCTGTTAGCGAGCGCCTATGAAGGCCGGCGTGTCACGCGAGACGGGGTGGGTGGCCAGCACCACGCCAGACCGCCTTAGTCTCCCCAGTGCCGATGTTTAATACCCTCCGCACCAGCCACGGAACTCCTCCGAGGATGAGTTGGAGAGCCGTCACTTGCGTTTGCCCGTGATCGGGAATTCAACTCGGGTTACCGAGTTCGCAGCGGAGCACCATGACGCTCCCCCCACAGTGCACGAGGCACACGACCGTGCGCCCGTAACACAAGCCGCGTGCGATACCACGTACACGTGTGCTGTGTGTGGGGGTCGCCGGGCACGGTGTGTACACGGCACACGCGTGATGTCGAACACATGACAATAAGTGGGCGTCTGACGGCGCAAGGTGTAGGCCTGACACGTGAAGGGCGGACACGCAGACGCGCGCACACACGTGACACACACACACACACAACACGCGCTGACTCACACACAGCCGAACGATCGCGGCGACCCGAATGGTAAATGTTCTGGAAGGGCTAAGGCAGCTGAAATCGAGTCAATGTTCACGTTGTTGCCATGCCATTGTCTGAAAGCCACTATTTATTTATTGGGGAGGATGGGGGATCAACGCAAAGTTCCACATCGCCTTGAATCTTGAGCCTCGCCACCAAGTGGACCGAGTAATTCGCCTCCCGTAGTAAAGTGTGATGCTAATGCCTCGAAAGGGCCGCTACTGCGTCCTATTATTAAGCGTTAGCGCATGGATTAAACACATACAAGTACAGTATACGTATGCAGCACACATAGTATATTGTACATCTCCAGGGAGATCCGTTTGTAGGTACCCCACTAAAATAAATGGGGTGGAAATATTCAGAGGCAAACATTAACATTTTATTTAAAAGCCTCCACTGCGCGTATCACGCGGGGTAGACTTATCGCAAATTCCAACTCTCCATGTCCTCTCCTCTGCGATGCGGAGCCATCGCGCGATGTTCACTGCAATCAATCACCTGTTGAGAGCAGACATCGGTGGAGTATCTATAGATGGATCACACAGTCAGCACTCCAACATGCACGTAACGCAATAACACTGGCGCGCGCACACACACACACATCGTACGGACATATTTTAGCACACGCGTGCGCTGTGTATACAAATCCAGTATAAAACACAGACGCGCGTGTACTGTAGTGTACACGTATGCACTGTACACATCGTATACACACAACACACACACACGCGTAGTGCACCACATGTACAGTGTACACACATCCAGTACACACACACACGTGTGTACTATACACACATCTCACACACACGCAACACACACGTAGCGTACCGCACGTGCGATGTGCACGTGTACCCATCACTGGCCGTCGATAAGTGCGACGGGTACTTGGAGACGTGTCGCATCATCCCGTGTCGCCCCATCCCGTGTCGCCCCATCCCGTGTCGCATCACCCGCCCCCCCCAGCGCGTATCGCTCTCCGCTCGCTCCGTCGACGCGTAAGCGCACGCTCTCGACCGGCGCACAATCACAACCATGCAGACATTAAGCTCAATTATTTATTAAGATCCTCTGTATTTTTCTCTTTTTTTTTTAGCAAAAGTAATCATGAGACAGGAATTTACACTTTGTACATTTAATAATAAAATAGAGCTGATTAAATTTACACGACATCAGACGCGCTGCGTGCGAACATGCAGGCCGCATCGGGCGCCTCGCGCAAATGGAAACCGGATCATCATCTTCATCATCATCATCTTCATCGTTATCATCATCATCCATTATTGATATCATTACTATTACCATTATTAATATTTTTTTCATAAAGTCAAACAAAAATGGCGTAATATTAACAGCCATGCAATAATTTTCTTCGGAAAAAAGCGCTGCCCCCCTTTCCCCGCCCGTCCTCCCCCCATTTCCCCGGAACAGGTAACTTTTTTTTATACCCAACAGAACCCGAACAGGTGACTGATAACCTGGCCAGGTAAATGGAAACCCGAGCAGGTAACGGTGGTAACCCGAACATTTGACTCGTAACAAATGCGCGCCGTCACGCCGCGCCTCTATGTACACACTGCCCGCCCGCGCGGTGCTTGGAGCTATCGGCAATAAATTATAGTTCTCCCCCCCCCCCACGTGGAAGGGGGGGGGCGGTGAGGGAGAGGGGGTTGACGGGGGGGGGGGTGTTTGGGCTGGCCTCGCGAGGTTGGTGGAGTGGGGGGCACCACGGGCCGAGGAACGGACGGACTCGTTGCCTGGTGCATCGCGGGGCCCCGTCACTGGTAGCCGAGCGCGGACGCCGTGGCGAGCCTCTGCCCGTAGAATGCGTAGGGCGAGTAGTAGGGTCCGGACGCGGGCACGGGCATCGCCGTGACGGGGGGCGCCACGGGACCCCCCAGGGGCGCCTTGGCGTACGGGTGGTAGCGGCTCAGGCCCAGCGTGTGCGGCGAGCGCAGCGCCAGGCCGCCGCCGTGAGCCGAGGGCATGTGCATGTGGCAGGCGGCGGCGGCGGCCGCGGCGGCCGCGCTGTGGTAGCCGCCCAGGAGTTTGTCGGCGCCAGGCAGCGCCGTGTGGCTGCGCAGGTGGCTGAGCAGCTCCTCGGAGGAGGAGAAGCGCTTGTCGCAGGGCCCGTTGGCGGACACCCAGTTGCACACGTGCGGCGCCGCCTCGTTGGGCAGCATGAAGCTGTAGGGGTAGAGCGGGTGCGTGGCGAGCGTGTGCAGGCCGGCCGACTGCATGTGGTGCGGCGGGTACATGAGCGGGTAGGCGTTCTTGAGCGCGTTCTGCTCGGCGTGCGAGGAGCCGCACACGGCCGTGGTGCCCGCCAGGTGCGCCGCGCTGTGGTAGCTCAGGCAGTAGGGGTCCCTGCAGAGGCCGCCCAGCAGAGAGGGCGGGGAGGCGCCGGCGAGGGGCGAGGCGCCCGCGGGGCCGCGGCCGGGCATGCTGCAGCCCAGCGCGCTGCCCAGCGCGCTCTTGCCCGGGTCCAGGGAGAGGCCGTGCGGCAGGAAGTGCGGCGGGTAACCCGCGTACGAGCCCGACAGGGACGCGCCGTAGCCCATGCTGACGGGCGGCAGCGGGAACACGGTCTGGCCGCCCTTGTAGGGGGACACGGACGCCACGTGAGCGGGGCCCCCCAGCCCAGACGCGTCTCCGGGGCCCCCCCCGCCGCCGCCGCCGCCCTTTCCGCTGAGACACGTCTCCTGGTTGACCTCCACGTTGATGCCCGCGCAGCTCACGCTGATGCGGTTGTGGCTCACGCTCGCCCCCGCGTTGGACGACGACGACAACAACGAGGAGGACGAAGAGGAGGAGGACGAGGAGGAGGAGGAGGCGGAAGAGGAGCCGTCGGCCGCGCTCTTGCCCTGCTGCTCGCCGCTCTCCTTCTTGTCCTGCGCGCCCTCCCCGGCCGCCTTGGGGTCGCCTTGGGGCTTGGGCGACGAGGAGGAGGCGGCGGCCGAGCTGGCGCTGCCGGGCCGCGGGGTGAAGGGCTGGCAGGTGGCGCTGGGCACGCGGAATCCGGGCTTCTCGCCACCGCCGCCGCCACCGCCGCCGCCACCTCCTCCTCCTCCCCCGCCGTCGTCCTTGCCCTTCTCCAGGCCCTTGGCGTAGGGCTTGAAGCTCGACTTGTCCTCGCCGCCGATGTCGCTCAGCCGCAGCGGGCCGCTCTTGGCGGGCGTCTCCTTGTCCGAGCCGCCACCGCCTCCGCCGCCGCCTGAGACGCCGCCGAGTTTATTGGGCGGCGCCTCGGGCTTGCCGATCTGCGAGCACGTCTGCGCCAGCAGAGCCAGAGGGCTCTTCTTGGCGTCCAACTGCAACACCACGCCACACGCCGAGACCCCGTCGCGCCCTGTTAGCGCGCCGCTCCGTCTCGCTCCTCACCCATCATCCATCACGCGGCGCGGCCTCTCGCACCGCCTCCTCCTCCTCCACCACCTCCCTCGCTCCGCACGGAGCCGCCCTGACACGCAGCCAGCCTGGACCCCCACGATACCCCCCCCCCCCACCCCCCGAGTTAAGATTCTGTGATCATGGGGACCGAGATCATGGAAGTGGTGGGAGTGGAGATGGTTCGTTTGGCATCGGAAAGGGGGGGGGGGTCCAATCGCCACCGTGTCCCCCCCACAACCCACGACCCCTTCCCGGCACCCGCCGAAACGGCTCCGTCCCTGGCGCGCGGCGTCGCGATTTTCGGTCGATCGCTCGAGGTTCGTGGGATCGATAATCGAGGAGCGCGTAAAAGGCGGGTGGGTAGGGGGGTGCGCGAACACGTACCTCTATGGGGCTGACGGGCGTGGAGGGGAGCGGCTGCAGGTACTCGGCGTGCAGGATGTGCCCGGCGCGTGCCGTCAGCATGGTGAGCACCCTGATGGGCAGCCGCAGCGCCTGGCGGAGCGGATCGCACGGCGGGAGCGCGCCGCTGCTGCTGCTGGGGGTCTTGCCGGACGCGGCGCCGCTCTCTCGCTCGGTGCGCACGCTGCTGTCGATGCCGCCGCCGCTGCCGCTGCTCGCCGCGCGAGTGTTGACGCCGCTGTCGGCCGTGCCGCTGGCCTCGCTCGCCGTGCGTGTGTGTCTGGAGCCCGGGAGCGCTGTGAGCATGACCTGTGCTCGCGCTGCGCTGACGCGGACTGTGCAATTCCTGCGCCTCCGCTCGCTGTTCCGCCTGCCCCCCCCCTTCTCCCCCTCCCCGCACTCCCCTCGTCCCTCCCCTCCACGACTCCCTCCTCCTCCTCCTCCCCGTCTCTGCACGGTCCCTCCACCCCTCCGCGCATCGGACCTCCCCCCCCGCTCCACCCTGAGCCCGCCCAGCCCCCACCCCACCCTCCCAGGCCCCACCCCCACCCTCCCAGGCCCCACCCCCACCCGCCCAGGCCCCACCCCCACCCTCCCTCGTAGTCCATGACCACCCCGGCGCAGGCCACTCCCTGCGAGTGACGTCGGCGATAACTAATGAAGCACGCGGGGTGCGGTGGGCCGGTGGGGAGGGGCATTCGCGGAGAGATGAAAGGGACCCCCCCCCCCCTCCGCGCCAGCCAATCCGCACGCAGGACGTCCGAAACGAAGGGCTCGCGATTGGATGAAACCGCCGGACGTTACGTCACGAGGAGGGGGGGGAGGGGGTTGGTTTTATTGACAAAAGCTTCGGGGGGCTTGTGATAGGTTGGGCGAGCGTGGGGTGGGGGGGTGGTGGGGGCTAGGGATGGGGGGGGGGCGATGCGGGGGAGGGGGGGGGGCGTGTCTCTCCGTCACGCGGCGCCTCGCTTCAATGTCACATGCTTAACCTCAACTGTCAATTCCGCGACCACAATCAATCAGTTATTTGTCAAGGCTGCCAATCCGCCGTGATTTATGTTGCCTTTCTCGGCGAGCCCGGGACCGGTCCGACTTGAAAAGGAGCGGGAGGGGAGGAGGTGGAAGTAGAGGGGGGGGGTATGAAAGGCGCCCATTCAGCCCCCGGAGATAAATGCGCTGCTGTGTAAACGGGGCTGAGCGCGGCCGAGCGAGCACACATGCACACAAAGGGGCCGCGTATAACTCCCTCGCTCGTTCACTCACACACTGACTCACTCACTCTCACGCTGGCTCACTCACTCACAGGCTCACTCACTCACAGGCTGGCTGACTCACTCTCAGGCTGGCTCACTCACACGCTCACTCACTCTCACACTCATTCACATGCTGGCCCAATCACTCACAGGCTGACTCACTCACTCTCACGCTGGCTCACTCACTCTCACTCCAAATCTGGCCCACTCACTCAGGCTGGCTCACTCACTCACAGGCTGGCTGACTCCAAATCTGGCTCACTCACAGGCTGACTCACTCACTCAGGCTGGCTCAATCACTCTCACGCTCACTCACTCACTGAAGGCTGGCTCACTCACGCTCACACTCTCACGCTCACTCACTCACAGGCTCACTCACTGACTCCCAACGCAGGCGCGCGGTTCGCGGTTCACGCTGCATTTCTCTACCCCCCTCACCTCACCCACCCACCCTCCCGACTACCCCTCGCGTCTGCTCCGGTCCACGATCACCGCGCAAAATGTTCGCGATCGAGGCAGCGGCCCCGAGACTTCAAAGCGAGGCGCGCATTAGAGCCGAGATCTCAATCGCGCAGCGCGATCAATGGCGAGCCCCGTTTCCCCGCAGATTAAGACTGGCATGTTGCAAGTGCTGACATGCGGGCCGTGACAGCCTGAACAAATGATCGGCGCCTTCAAAGAGCGCTGCGTGTGGGAGCCTGTCTGTCCCCTGCGCAATCCAAGCCCAGCCCCTCCGCGCCCGCCCCTGTCCGCCACGACACCACCCCCACCTCCACCACCCCCACCTCCACCACCACCACCTCCACCACCACCAGCCCCTCCACCACCACCAGCCCCACCTCCACCACCACCAGCCCCTCCACCACCATCACCATCTCCCCTCCACCACCACCACCACCACCAGCCTCTCCACCACCACCACCCCCTCCACCACCACCAGCCTCTCACCCTGCACTCCAACCAACCCACCCCATACAAACCGCAGCCCCACTCCAAACCCCACCACCACCACCACTCGCACCCTACAACCTCCTTCGAACCTCCTCCTGCTGCTGCTGCCCGCAACCTAAAACCATCTCGAGGAGCAGGGAGCGTCCTTAGCCACCACGGCAGATGACTCCTCTCCTTGTCTCCCTCGCGATCACCACCACCGCCGCCACCACCAACCCCCATGTCTCACGCAAGGACAAAAAAATAAACAATCGCAGCGGGGCAGTCGCTCGGCAGGTACAGAGATCCGTCGGAACCCACGGACACCCCCGGCCCAGACACGGCCGGCTACCCCTACGCCGCCGCCGCAGAGTCTAATCAGCGAGTGGCGATGAGAGATCTTTGACTTGGCCGTCACGATGTTGGCGTGAGAGTCCACCCCGACCCTCACCCCCCCCCCGCCCCCCACAGCCTCCCCCCACCCCTACCCCCCACCCCTCCCTCGTCTCTTTTCTTCTCTCTCGCGCCGCTTGACAGACGCACGTTGGCGTTGATCAATGTGCTCGCTGGTTTCCGGGGCCCAGATGGGGGCCGCGCATGGCCTGCGGTCGGGAAAGGTCGGGACTCGAGGGGAGGGGTGGGGGGGGAGTTGGGGGGCGGGGGGGCACGGACACGCACCTTACACCCTCTAACACACGCACGTGTACACACGTGTACACTCGTGTACGTGCGGTGTTCACGATACATGCCGACGTGCACGGACACACGTACGTGTAGATGTGTAGGTGGACGTACGTAACCACACGCGTTAATATGCATAGATACATACCGCACACACCCAGCCATACGCACGGGTACAAAGACAAAGATCCCCCGGATAGTCTTAAAATACTGTTGGGGCAAGTGCTGTTAGCGAGCACATATGAAGGCCAGAACGGCACACAATGGGGTGGGTGGCCAGCACCACGCCCAGCTGCCTTTGTCTCCCCAGTGACGATGTTTTTACGCACCGCACCAGGTACTCATTTGAGGCTTAGTCGATTTCGGGGAGGCCCAGGATCGGCTCAGATAATCGTCACTGATGTTGGCCATGAGCGGGAATCGAACTCGGGTTGCCAGGTTTGTAGCGCAGCGTAGCGCTACCCGATTGACGATTGTGCCAGGCCATGTGCACCTTGAGGCCACGTGAAGTGTCGAACGCCCGCTGGCAGGAGGTCACGGGGCAGACCCAGGTGCCACGGGTCGACTGACTGAGATGACTGAGATGACTGGCTGATGCACCACCTGTGCCCCCTACTGTACCAACTTGCTGTGCTTTAGCCACCCGGCGCTCCGCTCGTTGTTGTGAGCGTCGCTCTTACGATCTCCGTTGTTGTTGGAGGGCGACTGCCTCAAACTGCCCAGTAGCGTCCTTCACGAGCCTCCTCCACTGAGGCCGATCTTGACACCGCTGGTACCAGTCATTGGCAAGTCCACTCAGCTTTACGTCCTCCTGTACCACATCATCTCTTCTCTAGCCCGTGCCGCGCCCGTTTAGCCCCCTCAATCCGGCCGAACAACAACTATTTAGGCATGCGGTGCCACATACACGGTGCCCACACACGGTGACACACACACACACGGTGCCACACACACGCGCCTCAGCAACAAGCAGCGCTGCAACTATAAAATGGGTGTAATGGATTAGACTTAATACGCTTGCTGCATCGAGCAAGGTTCTTCGAACTCGGGGAAACGTGACGATGGGAGGGAAATTCAAAGTTGTTGAGTCGTGCGTGGAAAAATAAGTGTGTTAGAGAGGGGGGGGGGGCGCGGTGGTTGACCCCCCTCCCTCCTACGACGCTACTGGACTGGCTGCCCCGTCTCCCCCCACCTCTGGCGTTCCGCTCACAACTTCCCGAGAAGTGAGCGGAGGCGCAGGGTCGTAGCCCCCCCACCCCCGCGCCAGGATGTCGCGTGCGAGTCTTTACGAGACGCGCTGTCGAGAGAAGATCAAACGAACCTCGCGGCCTAACGAGGCATCTCGCACCCGCCCGACTCGCCCGAAGAAAACGGCCCGGTCGCTTGAGCGAAGCCGCAACCTCGACCCCAATTATCGAAGATTCATTTTCTCTTTCTTCGGCGGTCTTCATCTTCATCCGACCTCGTCACCGGGTCAGAGAGGAGAGGTGGGGAGGGGAGGAGGGTGGGAGGGGGAGCACAGTGATAGGTAAGAGAGAAGGGATGAAAGGGTGGTGAGGGAGAAGAGGTGTGAAGTGAAGGGTGAGAGAGGTTGGGGGGGGGGGGACACCAGAGGTGGTGAGTGAATAGGAATTAGAACGAGGTGCGTCAGGTGACAAGAGAAGATACGTGAAGCGTGGTTGGCCATGCATGAAATTGGGCCCTCTCCTGTCTCGACGATGTCCCTCCTCTTCGTTCGCCCGGCCCTTGGGACCCCCCCCCCTCCTAGTCCCGGTGCAGTTGCACCGCCTGCGCACGACTGCATAGCTCGCTCCTCCACTGGGACGAGCGTTTGTTCGAGCGCGATTGGAGGATCTTGAGCCCCACGTGGCACGCGGTGAGAGGTGTTTAACGTCTTCTTGCAATGGACACGGCGAGAGCTAAGGAGGCAAATGGTCAACCACACCAAAGCACGGATACGTCACTGCAGAAGAGGATGTCTCACTTGGACCCCAGCATCGCAGATTGTTCACTCACAGTGAAAACTAAACTATTTTTGTATTTTACCAGGTAAGGCTCACTGAGCTAGGTAGCTCTTTTTCAGAAGCCACAAATGATCGCTCAACGAAGTGGCTTATCACGTGGACATTTATAGTTGCAGCCAAATGCTCTAAAACGCACGTAGATGAATTTGGAGGGGAAACAACCGGAGGATCTGGAGAACAATCCACGCGACCACGGGGGAAGAGAACAAATATCGGGACGTGAGGGTCGGGATCGAGCCCACGACCTCCTGTATACCAGGTCACTGTGAATGTATGCGTGCAATCGGGGTAATGGTCTTGTCGTGGACACGAGAATTGTGTGACACCACTATCTTGCCACACATAGGAGGTAACCGTATCTACACGGACCCGCATATCCGCACACGCCCGCATATCCGCAGCGTCGCGAGTTTGTGTCCACTGTCACTCATCACGCGGCAACTCTCTCAATCACTCACAGATCAGGACCAC